GACCATAAATAATCAACATATTTATAGTAATCCGAACCTAATTATTTTTGGTTTGGAATTAAATTAAAATTTGCCCAAGCCTAATAACGAAGCATGTAATTTTGCCACATAAGATTCCGAAACACCAGAAACAACCACGTAGGCTTAGCGCGTTCTGAATTAATATATAGGGGGATATAGACACTTAAATTTGTTCTTTTAATCTAATTTGTGTGATTGAAATTTGGCTGATTAAAATTGATTTGTAATGTTTACAAAATGGTTGATGTCTACCACAATTTCACCGATTTGTTACCTTATATGCAATGTTAATGGATTCACGTGACATTACAAAATTTAATTGTAGTTTATAAGTAACAAAACACTTCTTTCATAATATGTATCATTCGGATTTTTGGGATTCTTTATATCAAATATATCATTATTTTTGCTTAATGATATGGAGTATAATCTCATAGATCGAACCACCCGAGTAACCAAGTCAGAAGCTAATATAGGGTATCTCGACCTTAGACACAAGAACCGGGTATAGACCTCTGGTCCTTGTGGGAGATAATGTGTCGGCTATGAAACCTCATACGCCTTAAAATATAATTTCAGATCGACTGACGACTAATTCACTGATGTAAGTGTGTATTTTGTGTTTCGGCTCGTGTTTTGAGCCGTGTAACGAAGGAATAAGAGAACATGAAAGCAAGTGTCTCAAGTGGTAGGGGAAAAAAAGAAGATGTGAGTAGTCTATCTCTGGTTTCTTTGATCTTGGTTTCTTTGTTTTGGAGCTTTGATCTTGGTTGTTATTTGCTTGTTCCTTTTTTTAGTGATAGTGCTGCTAGGTTCTCTAGTTCAGTGGTAGCCTATTTTTTGTATAGTCCTAATATTTCTTAGACCAGCATCATAAGAGGAAGGATCGGAAGTTATAGCCTCAGTCTATGCCGACCCAAATCTCTTAAGACGGCTGTTTCTTTTTTCTTTAGCTAGAACACTATCGTTAGTGTCTCTCCATTCCGCTTAGTAGCAGCTGTATTCTCGCATGTACAACCCTTTTGAGTTTATAAAATCTATCGTATTGAAAAAAAAAAAAGAGTAGTCTACCTGGAGGCTAAAGCCCTACGAGCAGGCAAAAGGATGTAAATAAAGTCCATTTTTAACGAATTTGGTAGTATAAATGGTGCTTTCTTTAATTAGTGGACTTAATATGCATATTGTTTTTTTTTTTTCATGTAAAGTGTTTTCACTTCGCCTACCGATTTTCACGGATCCACCATTTCGTCATTCGCACGCTGATGGGTAATTTCACGAGTCGTGACAGAATCTTGAACAGTGAACACGTAGGGACCATTTTTGCGCAATAATTTTTATTATATATATATATAGGGAAATGTTACGGTCCTGAAGTCATTCCGTCGGAGTTCGTAATCGTTACATCAACCATATCTGACTGTTACATGATGATCTAACGGTTACAAATTCTAACAAAATTGTTTCATAACGGGATCGTAGCATTTCCCGTCTAATGTGTGTGTATATATATATCTATAATGTATATATATATTAATATTATATATATTAATATATTAATTCCTGTATTGTTATTGTATTGATTGTAGCAATGTTACAAGATAAATCATGATCTTTAAATTAAGTATCATTTTTCAGTTTTTTAAAAATATATATATTTTTTTATTATTATTTTTGCAAACTACAGCATGAATTTAAATTGCAGCGACAAAGTAAATGGTGTCTTCTACAATATTCTTTGATATAACCTACAATATTCTCTGATATAATTTGCAGTGCAAATAAAAATAATATTTTCAAATATTATGTTAATTTTTCTGGTTTATTATGTTAGTTAGGCTTCATTTGAAAAAAGTTAGTATGATTATTTATTAGTGGGATTTTAATAATATATTAAAATAAAATAATTAAAGTTTCTGTGATGTCAAAGTGTGAGATAAATGATTGAAATGATAGAATGTTAAAATTATTTGAGTGGATGAACAATAAAGTTGATGTGATGTATAAGAATGATTAAATAATATTATGTAATTATATTAACAATATTGAAGATAGTGAAGTTGAATTAAATGTTGAGTTCTGTTAGAAACATCAACAACATGCACGTTTGAATTTGACAAAGTAAATCCTAACGCAGAGGAATTTATAGTTAGTGTCAGGACATTACCGTTTAAATTTTTTTGCCGACTCTGAGCGTTTATGATTTATGTTGATGGAGATCGACTGAACACCAGAGTCCGATAGGCTGCCGGACTTGGCCTTTCTCGATTTTAATCGAGTCGTGGGATCACAAACGGTTCAAGGATTGTCGGGCTCGGGCCGGTCGAATGTGGTTCAGCTTGGTCGGGTCACAGCTGGGCTGGGTCGGACCTCGGCTGGGGTCAGCTGGTCTTGGTTGGGCTCGTTGCGGCTCGATCACGATGCGTCCCCGGTCTGGTCGTGGACAGGTGGCGCGGATAGGCGCTGGTCGCTAGCAGGTGCGCATCGGGCTGTGGCGGGGACACACGGACAAGCAGACGATTGTGATGGCACGCAGGGACCTCGGGCGCGTGTGCTGCGGCGCTGCGAAGCTGCGGCTTTCCTATGCGGACTCGGACTTGGCATTGGCGTCTGGGTGTGCGCTGCACGTCTCCTTGGCGTACGCGGACTAGGGCTCGCGAGCTTCTCGTGCAAGGGAGCGATGCGCAACAGTCACAGGCAGCGGTGCTTCGCAGCGTGCAGGGACGGCGTGCAGGAGCGTCACTGGGAGCAGGTACTGGCTTCGGGTGGCACGCGGCTGAGCACTAGGTGTGCGCGACTCTGTGCGGTGGGAGCGGGCGGCGACGACTATTTTTGGCGACTTTTTGGCGAGGCGAACAGTGAGTGGTGGCCGGAATTCGTATGATCAAAAGCCTTCTAATGTATTACCTAAACACTCTTTACGATTAATTTTGATGGTGCGATTAATCGAATCTCCCGAACTCTCAAATAACACAATTTTTCTCTCTTGAGAAGAAGGAAAAATCGAGTAACATATGTGAATACACACATGTGAATCATTTTATAATGCATGGAGAAATTAAGTATGTCACGGTGGCATTACACAAAAGACACTCGAACCAAAGTTTGAGTTTTGAATATATAGTATAAACCATGCTCTCTAAAGAATAAGAGGGATATATACATATAAAGCTACAGCTACAATAAATCTACTATACAATTAGAAAAACTTAAAACATTACATGATATTTAAAATGGGCCGAATTCCTCCTTTGTTGACTCCTGTTGTGTTCCCATTATCCTGAAATATTTGAGATTATTTTATTCAACGACCAATATTTTTGGCTGGGGCCAAAATTCTGGATTATCACACATTTCAGAATTCAAGAAAATAATTTATCACAAAACATCACATATTTTATACTAACTATTTTAATAGTAGTGTATTGAGTTTAGTTACAACATTTAATTATTAAAATATACTATATTTTTATAAAGAAAAACCCTATTGGTTATTGCCTCATTTATTTGTGATATTAAAATATCCAATAAATAAATATAAAAGCCAGGGGACCAAAAGGCTTTTTTGTTACACCAAGAGAGAGGAAGAAGATGAGTAGTCAAATAAAAAGGTTTGATGGGATTTATTGGGAGTCTCCGCAATTTTTAAAGGACAACATTTCATTTTCACGTAATTTGTAGAGCTCTGCAACTGCAAATGCTCTTTATGAGCTACACATAGAGCAACAGCACATTAGCTGCTGCTCTTTTTCCTCAAATATAATCTCATTTAATGGATCCACCATAATAAAATCCCCACCATTTTCATCTTCCTCCCCCAACTTTTCTCTTACACACACACACAGATTTCCACATGGGCAAAGCTTCCCGGTGGTTCAGAAATCTCCTCGGTCTCAAAACCACCGATCCCAGCCGCTGCCTTCCTCGCCGGCCCCCGGCCAAGAAGAGGTGGAGCTTCGCCAAGTCCGATAGGGAGATAGACCGTGAATCCCGCGGCGGAGACGACGGTTCCGACGCCGGAAAGAAAGCAATCGCTGTGGCCGCCGCCACCGCAGCTGTCGCCGAGGCAGCCGTTGCAGCCGCTCAGGCTGCGGCCGCCGTGGTCCACCTCACGAGCAGTGGCACGAACATCTCGAAGGCGAGGCCTGGCCGCGCCGCGCGCGCCCAGGCTCATGTTAGCAGGCGTGGCGCACGTTACGGGAGGCGTGATGAGGAGTGGGCTGCCGTTATCGTGCAGTCTCATTTTCGTGCCTATCTGGTTAGTTTGCTTTCCTGTGGGTTAAAACTGAACCCCACGCATTTCGAGCTGCTGCTGTGCTGTGTTTTACAATTTTGCCCTTTCATTTTCATTCAATTTACAGAATGTGAAATATAGATGGGTTGCAAAGCAAACGGCGCCGTTTCACGTTGATTTCATACCTTTTCATCTTCCTGAAACTTCCTCCACAAAACCGTAGAGTGATGGGTCATGGGCATAACTAATTTACATGTGCAAATTTGTCTCTTTGTTTCACATTCTGATCTGTTCTCTGAATTATTTTCTCTGCATATTTGTTTTCCTTTTTCTCTCTCTCTTTTTTTTTTCTTTGTTTTTATAATTTTATTCCTTTACGAGTTTTGTGTACATAGTTATATTTGTGTGCAAATGTATACAGCTTGTATATGAAGTGAGCTTTCTCTTGAAGTTTTATGCTTGCTGATGAGTTTTATGATGTGGGGTGGGGTCAAAGTCCATGTTGAAGTTGTAAGGACTAGCAAAATTAGTATAATACTACTATTATATTTTAGATAATATACAGGTTATTTTCATGGTCATTATTGAATTCCATTGTGGTTGGGAGGGACTTGTCAAGCACTTGTTGGGGGATTAGAATAATTTACCAAATTTTATAAGTTAAATTGATGGAAAAGTAAGTAATGCATTTATTATTGTGAGTTTTGTTGTCCACATAACTAAGCATGGTGTATGCATTTATTATAGTTATAGAATAAATAAAAATTCAACTTTAATGCATGTCTTAGTTGGCAACAGGCATTTGTACACCTTAAGGAAGTACAAAGTTGCTCACTTTCTGTTTACTAATTAGATAGTAGTAATCCTTTTGACTTGAACTTGATCCAATGGATTCTTGAGGTCTTCACCTTCATTTGAAACATATATGGAGATTTGTGCACTTCTTTTTTTAATTTACTTTCTTTCTCTTTTTCATTATTATCTTCCCTTTATGATCGAGCCAAAGTAATTAGATTTAATTTTGGTATATAATAAATATAACTACTAAATTTGCTTCCTTTATGGACTGTATAGCTAGTTATATAGGTGAAGACTGAAGAGGCTAATATATGATTTATTTTGTATATACTCGAGTTTTTTTGAGGGGCCTTAGTGGAAAAGTCACATGCTACTGCAAAAAAAAAAAAAAAAAAGCAAACTAGTACAGGGTCAATAGTGCAACTTTGAAATCTCATAGAAACATTTTTCCATGCATGTTTGGATATAAAGTTGGCTGTGATGGGCTGCTTTGTACTTATTATCTTTTAGATATATCATAGCTATTTATTGTGTAACTTTTTTCTTTATTTTTCAGTGCTAGTGTGCTCTGATATGTCTCCATCTTCTATAAATTATAATGTCAGGCTTTTATCAGAGTGAAATGAAAAGTGAAATAATCAATTTTTGTGTAACTTCTTTCTACCTCAAGTAAATTTTGGAGTCATGTGCCATGTTTCCAGTTTTTCATGATAAATTTCTGATACTATATTTAATTATTTATGCTTCTTGTTCCAGTTCCTTATTATGTTCTTGGATATAGTTAGCTGTTGTTTTTTAAATAATTAGTAGAAATTGTTGTTTTATGGCTACTAAGTTCGACTTATCTTTTCTGATCACAGTTTGAACTCTCACCTTCATTTATGTTCTAATCTATTAACTTGATAATGATCGATAATTAGTCACGAAGAGCTTTACGGGCACTTAAAGCATTGGTCAAGATTCAAGCATTAGTGAGGGGTTATCTAGTGAGGAAGCAAACTGCATATGCTCTTAGACGGCTGCAAGTGCTCGTGCGAGCACAAGCTCGAGCTCGAGCAGGACGATTTTTGTACTATGAATCTCCACAATCGAGCATGAAATCATCGAACTTCAATTATCAGGTACATAAATATTTTCAAAGTTTTCCCTCCGTTTTTTGTTTTTAAATTTTTTGGTTGAACTTTATTTAGTTGTAGTAGGCATGACAGAAAAGGTTGTCCTAGTGTAACTGGGGGACCATTCTTGCCTTGTTTATTTTTTTACTATACATAATTTTGCTGTAATTTTTAATTAGGAAAAGAAGCTTTTTGTTTCCCAGAAATTAAAAAAAAAATAAAAAATAAAAAATGCAGACTAGTGGAAACTGGAGAGACAGAATTTCAAACTTGTAATTTTACTGAAAAATGCTAAATTGAGTTACTATTACGGGTTTTTAGGCTTTTCTTGTGGAAAAGTTAGCATGCCTGTAATATTTGTTTTATGCATATAACTTCTTGCAGTGGGGTTTTGACTATTAATGAGACTCTATAATGTAAATCTTGAACTTCTCTGGTTTTTCTGTGGTAAGAACCTCAAGCTACAGGGTTGGTTTCTGTAACTATCTCTTCTTGTTCAAGCGAATACGAATTCATCATATTCTTGTATGACGATCGAAACCTAAACTACATTTATCAAATTTTCCAGGGGCCACCAACTCCCGAAAAATCAGAACGTGCTGTTACACGTGCTAGAAGCATGAAACAAGAACTCTCGAATTTATTCCCAAAAACGCAGAAAAACAGCTCGGTTTCAAACAGCAGCACCCGTTTAGACAGCCGAATGAGCGAAAAGTCATATCGCCAAACAGACATTGACAAATTCGATAAAATTCTCGAAGTCGACAGCTGGAACCCACATGTCACCTCGAGAAACCGAACCCTCTCTCACTCTTCCTATCTCGACCGACACCCTACGGTGTCAAAGGACTCCACGGCCCGTTGCCAGTCAGCCCTGAGCACGTCGTCCTGCGAAGCCCAATCCTCGGGCCTAAGGCCCAGGAAGCAAGACACAGGCGAAAGCACTTTCTGCACGGCCGAAAACAGCCCGACTTTCTACTCGGCAGCATCTTCGAGAAAAGGAGGTTTTACAACCACAGAAAGTGATGGCTCGAGAAGCTGTCTTAGTAATTATTCTGATTTTCCAAGTTATATGGCTTGTACAGAGTCTTCTAAAGCTAAAGCAAGGTCGCTTAGTGCACCCAAACAGAGACCTCAGTTTGAGAGGTCGAGTTCGACTAAAAGATACTCGATTCATGGGTTTGGTGATTTGAGGTCGGGTCATAGAGTGTCTGGTTTGCAAGCTGATTTCACGAGCAAGGGTTATCCGGGGTCTGGGAGGTTGGACCGGCTTGGGGTGCCTGTTAGAGGGGATGTTAGTGGATTTAGTGATGGTAATTGGTATAGGTATTAACTATTACTGGTAAAGTTAGATTGTTTGGTTTCTGGTTAGTGACTGGTTATGAATTTAGCTAGTTAGTTATATATGATTTGGATGTTGAGAATACTGCAAGTGTTGTAATGAGCCAAATTTCACTGCAAAGGAAAATTGACTCTATCTAATTGTTGTAGACTTGCTAGATTGGATTAAACTTATCATCTCTGCTTCTGCATTTTCTCATTTGACATTATTTATCACAATATCAAATGCCTGCTCAATTTTCCTCCGAGCATCATTCATGTTATTCACCATACGAACTAAAACACGAAACGGGTGTAGAAGATCCCGAAGGGTCAAAACTAATAGTCTCAAACCAAGTAACATGTTTTAAGCATACGACCAGTGAATCATTGTCGGTTGAACTGGAAACTAGCATGTTTACGAAGATCCCGAAGGGTCAAAACTAGTAGTCTCAAACCAAGTAACATATTTTAAGCATCCGACACGGCCTAGCTGTACCTACCGTCTTTTTTTTGGGGTCAATATCAGCAATGCAGTTCATCCAACGATAAACCTAATCCCGAATTATAGAGTTATGACACAATCAAACCGAACGAACAAAATGTTTGTCGGTTGAACTGGAAACTAGCCTGTTTACACCGGTTCGGTTCACTCAAACTACAACTATCAACATAACCGGTCAAACAAACTATCAATGTAACCGGTCAAACACCGGTTGAACCGTTAAAACGGAACATAACCATTTGTACTGTAAACAAATTCTAACAAATTTATAGATCATCTTACCTGTTATGATAGCCGATGTGGGACATAGTAAGAATTTCAATTGTTCAAATGATAGCCGTTGTAGGACCTAGTAAGAATTCCAATTTCCAATTGTTCAAACGTCTGCAGGAAATTTCTTTTGCTGTATTTTTGTCCACTTATTTTTTTAGTGTTTAATCTGGGAGTGGGAGGAATTCTTTTCCATATTTCTTTTTATTATTTTACTAGTGTTAAGCCCGTGCGATGCACGGGGGATATGGTTCAATAACAATAATTATCGTGAGTTAATTAATTAAAAATGTATATTATTTGCAAATCAATTGAAAAAATGAAACTTCTTTTAATATTATTAAAAATTTCATTATACATAGATTGATGGTATGACCGGTCACAATGGTATTCACAAACTAATATTTTAAAACCAAGATCACTGTTGCGTCAGATAGCACAAAATAAAGTTTTTCATTTATTGAAACATAATAGGCCGACGTGTATATTACTAAGAGTCATTGACTATTTTAAAACTCATCAACCATCACATAGGAAATCACAAGTGGTAACTGATGCCCACATGAATTTTAAAGGTATTTGCAAATCAAAAACAGATAACATATCTCATATATTTTAAATATCACGTATAGTTCAAAGACAACCTATTGTAAAAAGCTATTAATTTTTTTAAAAAAAAAAAGTAAGTCAAACTCATTATATTTAGATATTATTAAAAATTTCCTTATACACAACATTTTCGGTCTGAGTTTTAGAAACTTGATCTCCACACACTAAGATTTTTAAACCATTACGATTGGTTACACGTGATATAGCCACATACAACTGTCCGTGACTGAATAAAGGATTTTTTAAAAACAGGCCGACATGAGTTAGCGACTGACCTTGCCACTCCTCAAAGTTGTAATTTTTTATAGGATAAATTTTTCTTTCCACAAGAGTCTTGTTGATATCTATATCCTTTTGTTTTATAGTACGTTGAATCCATTCTCCGATCCCTACGAACACATAAAAAGTATTTAAATTTCATATGCAACATATAATAATAAAA